TAGCCTTGAACAGAGATCCACCTGCTTCTGCCACATGAATGCTAGAATTAAGGGCATGCACCACCACAATCATTTAATAAAAAATGACTGCACGAAGGTATCATTTAGGCTAGCCTGGCTCCGTTCTTGAAAAGTATATAATTTCATTGAAGTGCACACTGTGTGAAGGTCATCTTAGAGTTTCTAAAGAAAGGATGTCATTGTTCCTCCCCTCCCTGCCTGGAACTGACAGTCTTTCCTCCCCTTCAACTCTGGTCTCAACTTCTGAACAAGTTCCATTGAGAGGTGTTTCTGGTGAATCCAATGTACTTTGTACTCATGGCTAAGTATTCCATACCTTTAGAACACATATTCTTTGTAAAGTATTGGAGGCAGGCAGGTCACCTCAAAGGAAAAGAATGTGTCTCTGGTGAGGTTAAGGTCGCAGGTCGGTTGTTAGGCCTGAGTCAGGTGAACTGTGTTTCATAGAGAAAGTGGGGTTCCCTAAGCAATTCTTCCTCCAGCTATTAAGGGTAACCTGAGCTGCACTCCCAGAACCAACTCTTTCCACAGGACAGTCTGAGACTGGTGATTGGCTACTCCAGGGGTATAAGGTTGTAACTCTTAACCTCAGATCAGGACTTCTTTGCTTGGCTATTCTAGCTCCAGATCTCCTGCTTCCTATTGTCTGAGGCTGTGCACATGACCGGGCTGTAGCTCCGCTCTCCCCTCTGCCTCGGTCTGTGGTTGTGTGAAGTACAGAAAGGATCAGAACTGTGTGGTCAGACTTAGCAGGTTTGCCTTTTTTTTTTTTTTTTTTTTTTTTAACAGTAGACACTTCAGCAAGTATATTCACCCATCAAATTCAGTAGGCTGGGAGGTAGAGCCCCTGCCTAGCATGTATTGTAGGAATTCAGTTAAATTCAAAAATTAACTGCCCCAGGACACATTCCAGGAGGAGCACATTCCTTAGTTAGAGGACACTTGTGGGATTAACAGGATTAACATTCTTCAGACCACAGGGGAGGGAACCCATCTGCAGGTGAGGAAGGCCCAGAGCATCCCACAGGACCAATCCTTGCCATTTACAGACAAGGGAGGTCCTTGCCACCTCATTCCCCAAAGACCAATCAGTTTAAAAGCCACACTGTTCTGCCAATCATATTGTGCCTAGTCACTGTTTCTCTAGTCCACCCCTTAAACTGTATAAAAAAACTGCTCTTAGCTTCAACCTGGGGGTTCTCCTTTTGCCTGCATGCGAGGGAACCCCTGTGCACTGGTTACTATTATCATTAAACTTCATGTTTTTGCAGTGAATCCCCTGTCTTTGTGTGTTTCTGCAGGAGCACATCCCCTGGTTTGGATCTTAGAGTCCAACAGTATGAGACGTTGAGGAGCAAGCCACAGGTCAAAAAGAGCTCAGGGAACATTGGTTATGGATTCAGATTTAGTGTTAAACTCCAGAAGAACCATATGTATCCCTGGACTGTTCCCAAACCTTGGAAATGTATGGCTGGGCAGAAGTGGAGCGAGAGAGATGGTAGCCCAATTGGATGGTTCTCCTGCAGCAAAGGGTGAACACAGTGAAATACAACCTATCTAGGGGTTCAGGCACAAAACATGCACTTTTTTTTTTCAAATCCTCTGAAATTGTGACATAACACAACTCATTGTCTTAATTTTGTCATAATAAAGTAAGAGTCAAAGCCTCAGAAATTCCTTAAAACTCACAACTGGCAAACATAGTATGGGACACAAACCTGTGTCTGTGGGTTCAACACACTGAAGACTTTCCTTTACACAGTGGAGAAGCCTGTGCTTATAGTCTAAGAAAACAGATTCCAAAGTATGCTTCTATTCGGCCATGTAACCTTTGCTCCAAAATGAAGCACCAGCAGCCATGGAAGTCTGTAGAAGGCCAAGTGCTTAAGGACAAACTGAAATAAGGCATCCTTTTGCACAGTGTTATACTATACACAGCAGAGGTCAGGGCCTTACAATAAAGGACCAAGTTGTCTGGAAGCATATGCACTACTGACCTCAACCTTAGACCTCTCTGTTTTTAGCCAATAAGTAAATTCAAGAGAAACAGGCAGTACAGATCCCTCAAGAAACACGTATGCAGGTCTAGCTTTGCACTTTACTCAAGCCCTGACTGCTTCCTTTTCTTTTTAAATAGTTTTTTGAAATTACCTCATTTCCCCTTTTCTTATCCTCCTTGCAACCCCTTCCACCGGACTCCCTTTTGTTTCCTCTCAAGTTCATAGTCTTTAAAAAAAGACTGTTGTTAGATATATATTCATAAATATAAAGATACAACCCACTCAGTCTGTATAATGTTGTTTGTATGCATGTCTTTAGGGATGAGCACCTGGTCTTGAATAACCAATAGGGTGGGGGATGGGGATTCTTTGAGGAAGACTATTTCTCTTGATCTCCACATTCCTTAGTTACCTGTAGTTCTTTGTCTAGGTCGAGGCCTCCTAAGCTTTCCCTGTGTCATGTCAGCATGTCTGGTGGTCTCATCTTTATTGTTCAGGTATTGTTCAGCCATGGTGATGAAACTTCATGGGTCTTTTCTGACTCTTTTCAGCAAACTCCCAGTCCTTCAAGCTCATACAATCTTTCCACCCACTTCTGCAATGATCCCCCAGCCTCAGCTGCAGGAATTCTGTTATAGATGCATCTGTTGGGACTAAGCACCACATGATCTCACTTTCTGGATTTTGATCAGTTGTGGTGTTCAGTAATGGTTTCTTCCAGTTGGGAAGCAAAGTTTCTTTGCCGAGGGGTGAAAACCATTTACTTCAGGGAGGAGGCTGCTTTCAAATTTCTATGAGCTTCTCTGCCTCAACTTCTAACTCTTTCTTACACAGTAAGAGAACATTCGGGGAATTCGTCTGCATGTCAGTAGAAAAGCAAAACAACGAACTATCAGATATTTCAAACTGGGGAAATGAAGGTTGGAATGGGGAGGGAGGCATATCCAAAGTCGCCTACTATCAGTTAGGAATCCAGCAACTTACAAACCTTGGCAAGCAAGCTAGAACCAGAAAGCCAAGACAACTAGAACCAGAAATCCAAGACAAAAGGCTGCTTGAAAAGCCAAGAGTTAATCTGTTATTCTAATAGACTAATATTAAATTAGGAGACACATTGAAAGTTATAGGTGTAACTTTGATAGACTCAGAGTTTAGAGGCATAGCACACAGAATATACTTGGTCTTGGCCCTATCCCTGTTACTGCTCCTAAAGCCGTTCTTCATAAAGTCTGAGTACCCAGGGAGCAAAGGTTGCTTACTTCTCAGTTTAAGTTAATAAGACTACTTAGGGTGTGGCATCTCCGATCCCCAGGAAGACACCAGTCACCAGATTGATGGATGATTAAAAGATCTTGGTCCCACCCACACAGGAAAGGAGACTATTAGGCAAGCCCGGTTAGAGAGGTTGAGACAGTGCTGGCTCTGAGAATATGACAGCTCCTTCCTTGCCTTACCACAGAAACATCTCAGTCCGTATGCTTTGCAATATCGAAAGCCAAACCAGAATATAAGCTGTGGGTACTGGCACAAACTTTCAGTCCCAGCACTCAGGAGACAGAGGTAGGTAGATCTCTTAAGACCACCTTGGTCTACATAGGACAGCTAAGGCTACATTTGAGGCCCGGTCTGACGAAAACAAACAAACGAACAAACACATGAAGCAAACCAGAATGTGTCTTCCCAAGTTGTGAGCTCTCTTAGCAAATAGGAGTCAGTCACCCAAAGAGGGAGTGTCACTGCTGTCTGCTTCTAGTCAGTTGGGAAGAAGTAACAGTGTTGGCATCTGAAGTCAGGACGGAGAGGCTGAGCCCTCAGTCTTGTGGGATCTGATACTGATCTCCTGATTGGGTAAAACTGAACTACTGGCTACCCAGGAAATAATCTTTGGAGAACTACTGTGTGTAAGGGCCCTCCGCACACATGTCGTCACAGGAATATTCCATGTTGTGTTAAGAGAAAGAGCTGTTCCTTCCTCATTCTAGGAACTGACTGGGAAAGAGAATGCCTGCCTTCTCTTGGTGCTGCTGTTAGACATGGCTGAGTGCCAGATTCATTAGACCCCTGGCATGTTTGCTAATAATGGCTACACTGGAAGGCTGCACTAATGTGGAAATTCATGTTTCATCAAGTGAACACAGGACCTTTCTGATGAAATTCTATCTCCATTTGTAATGGAGACTTCAACTGTGTAATGTGGGTCTATTGAAATGGGAACAGTTTGTACCAACTACAGAGAAATTTAACATGTGTTTCTTTTCTGATTATAACTTTTGTTAGTAGTATGAGTTAACTCTTTAGAGTCTTCTGCTGACAATCACAAGCTTATTCCTTCCTTCCAGTTGCACCCTTTCTGCTGTGCCCAGTACCCCACCCATTCCCTATCCTCCAGTTCTTTGTATTTATTATCAAAGCCATAAATCCTCAGTTGCTTCACAACTGTTTTCCTTCTTCAAGACTACTTGCTGGGCTGGAAAGATGGCTCAGCGGTTAAGAGCACTGGCTACTCTTCCCAAGGTCCTGAGTTCAATTTCCAGCAACCACATGATGGTTCACAACCATCTGTAATGGGATCTGATGACCTCTTCTGGTGTGTCTGAAGACAACGATGGTGTACTCATACATATAATTAACAAATAAATCTTAAAAAAAAAAGATTTAAAAAAAATAAAAAAAAAGACTATTTGCTTTTTTTTTTTTAATCTGTGTGCTACTGATATTAAAGAGTAAGGAAATATAAAAAAGTTTAAATTTAGTCAATCTGTTACTTTGATGGATGAAATCAACTTTTTTCCCCAAGAACAACTCCCAGTGTTATTGGTTATTGCTTTAATAGATTTAGTGTATAAGTTACTTTAGCAAAAAATTTAAAATACGGATTTGTTCCAAACATGAAAAAGAGCTGTATTGATTTATGAAGTTGAAGAACCCAAGGTCTGCAAAAGGAGCAGGCAAAAAGTCACACTGGTAAAACCAAGGAGATTGTGAAACAAATAATATACAAACTTTTATTCAAAGATAATTCAAGAAAGACACATGTTGGTCATCTTTAAAGAGATTAAGCGAAGATCTCAGAAAAACTATCTGCTCAATATACATGATGAGTCACAGAAAGCTTTCTCTTCCGTTAATAGCAGCTAAATTTATACACACAAAAAAATTCTTAAGACCATGCAAACTCAGTTGAATTCCACACATTCATTATATTCATCAAAAAACCTGCAGGTATGTTCATGCCAAAAGTGTTACTTTAAGAAAAAAAAAATTAAAAACACACACCAAAACATGATCAAGATTCAACTAAAGAAAAATAATAAATAAGCATAATTTATATTTTATTTAAAAAAGTTTGGCATCACACATATTAAAGTGTGTTACGCCATGTTCATTCATTCCTCAGAAGTGGCGTTTTAAAGTGTTAAGCATTGTTAAATATCAAAAAATACAACTCTGTTTTACAATGTAGTACTGGCATAATTCAAAGTACTGTGCCAATTATAAATAGATAATCAAACATCTTTTCAAACATATTTAAAGGAAAGCATATAGACACACATTTATATGCACAACAATTTATTATAGTCATGTAATCAAAGATATTTATAAAAGCAAACAGTTTCACCCCTCAACAGTATACTTACATAGATTTTAATCTGTCCCAAAGATTCTCTGTTCCCAGAAGATTTTTTAAGAGAAAGAATAAAGATAAAACTTAATTTTACAAGAACACATGTTAACTTTATTCTCTTTCACAAAATAATCGGTAGTCATTCGAGGCTGATAAGAACTAGTTTTTATGAAAGCGACTGTTGCCTGAAGACCACAGTGGAGGGGCTTCAGTCTAGGTCTCTTGTAAAGTCAGTCAGCTGCTGCTCGGCACAGAGAAAGCCTACACAGTGCTTCTACCAAAAATAATCTTCAGTATCCGAGGCCTCTGAAGGCAGACAGTCTCATCTTCTGCTGAGACGTAAAGTGTGGCTCCAGGTGGAAGCTAGGCTCTCAGTCCTTCAGAAATACTTGTTGACACCTGGTTCTCATGGAATGATACGCTGAAAATGTCCTGCAGGCTCATAACGGTTTATCAATAACTGTGACCCCTGCATGAAGGAACCAAGAGATAAGACACGTCACAGGTGACACTCTGTGCCTTTGAGAAAATCCAGAACTCTGTACCGCTACAGCCATAGGCAGCGGCCGAGTGCTTTTCCTCCACCGAGCAGTGCCATGTTTTAAAACTCAGATTGTTTTATTTTATGTGTGACTGTTTTGACTGCATGTATGTCTGTGCACCATAAGTGTGCCTAGTGAACTCAGAAGTCAGGGAAGGGCATGGATTTCAGGGTACTGAGTTAGAGACAACTGTGAACCACAATATGACTGCTGGGGACAGAACCTGGGTCCCACGAAAAGACCAACAAGCTCACTCAATGGCTGCACCATCTTCCAGCCTTCACCGTTTTCTTTCTCTTCAAAAAACAAACAAACAAAAAAACCAAAAAGCAACAACCAAAAAACACAACAAAAAGAGCCTTTTCTTAAACAAAGCAAAGCAAAAAACCAACCAACCAAAACAACCTTATCTTTGTCATTTAATTCTGTGTATATGTGTGTGCCTGAGTATGGGTCTGTGCACATGTGTGTACAGGTGCCTACAATTTTGCAAGAGTTTATTGGTTGTCCTGGAGCTGGAGGTTCTCTATGAAGGCAGTAAGTACTCTTGATCCTGCCACTAGGGCTACTATTTTAACACACACAGCTGGGATGAGCCATCTCTCCTGCCCCGAGCACCATTTCAACATACACAACTGCGAAAGTTCCACTGAGGCCTGAATAAATTCTACATCAGACTACCTGGCCTAGAACTTTTTTTCCCTGTGAAGTTATTATTGGAGAGAATTTGTTTTAGTTGGAAAACAAAAAAAATGCGCCTGATACTTTATGGGTCAGCAAACATGCTGGAGGGAGGACATGTTCCTCATCTTGGACGTCATAGTGACCGTCTTGTGGGCATGTATGAGTATCAATAGAAAGATACATTAAAATAAACAGTGGTTCTTTCATGTCAGTTATGACTCAATGAAGTTGTTTGAAATTTTTTCTAACACTACATCATTTTATTCTGTGATCCTGCTATATATAGTTTTCTGGAAGTGTCATTTTGGAAGGTGGCTAAACAGCAGTGATGATAATTAATTAACTTTCCCCCCAATATTATATTAACTGTATTAACATTCTAATACTTAAAAAATATCAGAATTAGTTAACATATAAAACATAAAGTTTTATTGTTTGTTTTTGTGTTGGATTTTAGCTTTTCAAGACAGGGATTCCCTGTGTAGCTCTGGCTCTCTTGGAACTCTCTGTAGACCAGGTTGGTCTTGAACTCACAGAGATCTGCCTGTCTCTGCCTCTTGAGTACTGGGATTAAAGGTATGTACTACCACACCCAGCTGATAAGATGTAGTCTTAAAGACAACATTATATTAAAGATTATTATAATTTCTCAATATCTCTTATTGAGAGAATGGGCAAGAAATCCCATAATTCAACCAATGATACAGTAAAGTAAGGCATTCTATGCGTCAAGGGCAATGCATGAGGCTGGTCACACTTGTTCTTTTTATGGGGTGAAGAAGGCGCCTGTGTCACAGTGGAGGTAAGAAAACCTCCCCTGGGAGTGATTTTGCTCCTTTCATCATGTAGGTCCCAGAGACTGAACTCAGGTCACGAAGCCTGGCAAGGACCTTTGCCCACTGAGCCCTCTTGTGAGCCCCTGAGCTACACTTTCTGGTTAAGGAATTAAAGCCTTTCTGCAGAGTGAACGGCTCGCCATCATATGCGGTATTTAGTCATTAGACTTTATTAAGTACATCTGAGCTGTAGACTAGGGATTTTAAGTATTACACAATGAAAATGCCGGTGCTTCATGTGAACAGACACATCCAAGGCACACTGTTTAAGCATACGACATGATTCTCCTCTTACAGGAAAACTGATGGCAGCTGTATGCCAGGAGACAGAGAACAGAGTAGCCTTACCTGCATAGCTTCTCCCCGTGCTCATACAAGAGGACACAACTGTCCACTTATCTGTGGTGGGGTTATAATACTCTACTGATGCCAAGTTACAGGAACCGTCATCTCCTCCAACAACATACAACAGGCCATTAACTGCACAGACACCTTAAAAAGTTATGCAGAGAGAAAACAATTACTTACAACCTCAAGGTGAGTACAACTCGACCCACACATGCTTGTTCAGATGACACAAGAATTCATATTGACCTTTATTTTGATGGGCCCTGAGTGAAGCTTATAGTTGTGGAATTTCTTAAGATCAACAAACCCCATAGCACAGAGAACACAACAAGGTATGTGGTCAGCACGACCCTGCTCTGAGCCAAGTTATTTTTCTGTACCAATGTCTGGCAGGCGTATTACAGCAACAATATGAAATAACTGGTGGGCAGGAAACAAAATGGCTACAGTCATGCTAGAGGAGCAGGCCTCAATAGAGGCAGAGGATGGGATGGTGGTATGTAAGACCTCTGTAAACAGTAGCACATGTGCAAAGCTCCTACTGTGTGCCATGACTGCAGTAGCTGCTTTAGAGATGACTGATTCACTCAGTCACCACAACAACTGTACATATATACAGGTTAGAGAGTATTTCTACCTTCATTTAAAAAAAAGGAAGGTAGGAAGAATAGAAGAGAAAGATGGAGAGAGGAGAAAGAATAGGTCAAAGTGGTAATATTTTCTATATTAGCTTTTTAGGGAATTATAAGAAAACATTTATTAACAGAAGGTTGAAATGAGGGCTGGAGCTACCTTGCACAGTGGTAGATCAGTTGCCTGGAAGGTTAAAAAAAAAACTGCTTATAATTTCAAGTTTTAGGCTGGATGGTTAAGCTGTCTTGTTTCCTTTAAAGGGAGCTGGGGTTGCAGTTCAGTAGCAGAGCCTGGCTGACCACATTATGATGTGCTGGGTTTAATGGCTGATGCTGTAGTCCTCCACAGGCACAGGCAGGAAGATGCTAAGTTGAAGGGCAACCAACCTGGGCAGTGTACTGAATCCCTGTCTTTAAAGAGGTGGTGGGGCCTGACAGTGGCGGCACATGCCTTTAATTCTAGTACTTAGGAGGCAGGAGCAGGTGGAGCTCTGTGAGTTTGAGGCCAGCCTGCTATACACAAAGTTTTAGGACAGCCAGAGCTACACAGAGAAACCCTGTCTAGAGCAAACAAACAAACAAACACCAAAATGAAACAAACAAAAGGAGATATTACCTATTAAACAAACAAACAGGTAGTTACTAAGATAATTTTTTTTGTTTGTAAAAGTTCAAAATCTTCTAGAGTAACTTGTAAAATACAGAGCTCTGCTGATTAACAAACTTCCTTTAACCCCCAACAGAGAATACTAACTTTATTTTATTTTTTTGGAGACAGGATTTCACTTTGCCTTGAATTTACTATGTAGCCAAGTGATTGTAACTACTGACTCTTGCCTCCACCTTGTAAGTAGCAGGATTACAAGCCTGTGTCATCACACCCAGTTTCCTCTTTCTTTCTTTTTGAGATAAGGTCTCACTCTGTGGCCCAAATGGGCAAAACTCACTCTGTAGCTCAGACTGAACTTAGTCATCGTAACCTGGTCCTGAGTTCTAGGGTTGCCCCATAAGCTGTCATGACTTAGTCTGACTGTGAGAAGGAACCAAACTGAAGCCATTTTAAATAAAACTTCCATTTTGAATAGGAGTCGAATAAAGTTTAAGTTCCCGAGACCTCCTGGGTAACTGACACCCTGCTTGGCAGAGAGAGACATGTACACGGGTAACTGACATCCTAGTTGGCAAGTTGAGACATGAAGGCAAGGCAGATGACCCTATCACAGTTGAATAACCCGATCAGTGGGAACAAGGTAAGTATACCACAAAGAAATGTTCTTGAGTAAGTCCCCTATACCTAAATCCTGATTAGTGAGAAAAGGTAACTATAGTTTGGCACAAATGTTTGTGGTTTTTGGGCTTAAAAACTCTGTACCATCCCGGCTCTGGAGTTGTAGTTCAGCTCCTGCGTGTATTTTGCAGCCGGAGTATAGTAAGTTTCTGTAATCTGCTTAGGTATTTACTAAGATGAACGTTGGAAGACGCAGTCAGTTCCCGAGTCTGTGCTGTTGTCCCTGACTGGTCAGTTCTTGCTGCCTAATTCAAATAAAGATCTTGCTTCGCTAGACTCTTGTGACTGCTTGGGTTGTTTTGGATTTTGTGGACACCAATATGACAAACACTATACATTGGACATTTCTCCAAAATAATATTGATCTGTATAATCTTAATGGCTGCATACATTTCCATGTATGTAAAACCCTGTTTACCTCATCTTCTCTTACTGGTAGTTATTTAAAATGAGGAACACAAAGAACCTATATATTTGAATATTCATAAAACTATTCACTATAGATTTTTTTAAAAGAAAATTTGGGAGCTAAACACTATATTCAACTTCATTTTGTTTAGGGCTGGAGAGATGGCTCAGCAGCTCAGAGCACTGGCTGCTCTTCTAGGGGACATGGTGTTCAATTCCCAACACCTACAAGGGAGCTGTCATAACAAGTCTGTAACTCCAGTTCCGGGAACCATATGCCTGTAGGTACCAGACATACAAAAGGTGTATAGGCATACATGCAGACAAAACATGCACACACACAAAACAGCAAACTTTTTGTTAAGTCAACTGGCTTCTTTTTAAGTGAAGAACCTAACTAAGCTGGGCATGGCAGCACACACACACCTAACTCCCAGCATGTAGACGGCAGAATAACAAATGGAGGTTAACCTGCTCTGGAGTAAGACCCAGTCTCAAACACACAAATGTCTGAAATTTTCAAAATTATTCAAAATGCATATTCAAAACTACACTAAAATGGAGCAAACCTTCTCTCTCTTTTGCTCAGTCTCTCAACTATTTTACTACTGTAGTCTTTTACAAGAATCAAACTCAGTTTGCAAACAACTAGAGTACTTAAGAGCAGAAGCCTCCATACCAGCTCCCAAAGGCCCACATCTGAGCACAAGTCCATGCTGACTCACTGGCAGACAGGCGATGGTGGGAAAACCAAACAGGCCCTGGATGGTCCAGTGAGTTCACAACTATGCAGGCTCAGCTCCTACACAGAGCTATGACACAGAGGTCAAGGGCATCCCACTGCGGAGTAGGCTGGTTTCCACATCCACCTGAACTGAGCCACTATCCTTTCCAAAGTTATGGAAATTAGTTAGATTAATCTAGTGTTAGTTAACATTATACTAATGTCCTGAGTCACAGCAGTCCTTTAGGCAGCTGGGAACACACCACTCTGCCAAAAGGACAGACTTTGCTCAAGCACTTGACAGGTCTAGTCTGTCTGGTTTACTTTATTGTAACCAAACGTTCATCGAGAACCTATCACAGGTGCCCTAAATGTTACAAGGCTGCTTATAGTCATAGTCAGGAATTCCCACCTCCCTCCATGTCACAATTTTACTTTTTTCTCCACTCTGTTTTTGTTGGTATTTAAGCAATATCTCCCTCTGTAGTCTAGGTTAGCCCAGAACCTGTGTGTCAGTCAGAGTAGCCTTTAAGGCAAGACTGTTTGCTGATGTCTCCCCAGATCTGGGATTACAGGTGTGTGCGACTGTGTCTAGATTTTTTATCCAATTTTGATATCATAGTTTACCGTACTTAGGGATAACTTTTGAATATGGTTTGAAAGTTGGTTGCTAATCTAAACTTCTGGTTCATGGATGAGGCCTTTATCCTAGATTAAGTAAAGATAGTCTGTACAGAGCTTATCAGATGCACATTTCAGATGGTCAGAAACAGAATCAAGGTTACCCAACATTTCTAATCCTGAGTCCTTACACCCTTGATCAAGCCCTTTCTCTACCAAAGGCCCAGACTTGTGGGTCCTGCAATGCTTCTAGATTATCTCTCGCTGGAAGACTTTTAATATCTTACCAAATGTAATTGATCGGGTAAAGTACACGGCTGAATAGTTAATTATAAATTCTGCCCTGCTACCCATAGGCCTTACTGTACTGGACTTCGTGTTCCCTTCTGGTCACAAAGAGAAACCAAGAAAACATTTTTAGGGAGCCCATCTATTGAGAAACACCAAGAACTCAGACTATAAGGACCAGCAGGAGAAGGCTAGCATTTCTCTCCCAAGAACCTCTTGAGTACAGTCATACACCACCTAACTGTAAGACATGAATCCATGAGGGCAGAGCAGAGATGGAAAATTCCTATCGTCCAGTGATGCTGCAGCCTGGGACAGCTAACCTAACACTGTGGCAAGTGTATCAGGCAATGCTGATGTAAACATACCTGTCGAACTGGTCTCTGTGTAAAAACACTGCAAGCAGGGTTACAAATGGCACATGACACTTCACGGTAAATAACCTTGCTACTTGTCGTATGTATTTTCTAGTTCTTTTGAAGAATATCCTTCTACTTATCAAACAGACATTTATTGTAAAGCAGCGTACTGTTAACTCAGGCAGCAGCCCTATACAATTTATGCCTACTGTGTTTTTTATTGCATCAAGGGACTATATGTGGTAACTGGCCTATAACATCTTGGATTGTGTCAATGTGATATTCACATTGTGAAACACACTTGCAGTTAAACCCTTTTTCGAAATGTGACTGCAGTTCTCTGACCTTGAAGAACTCTGTATTCTTAAAATTATTTTTTTGTTGTTACTACAGGTTTCTCTATGAATCCTGAGCTCTATTAAATCAGAGCAAGCTCTTCAGACCTTCCCTCCAGTATCAGATAATAATTTGCTTTGTTTATAAAATGTATTGTTATGTAATCCAGACTGACTGGAACCTAAGATCCTCTTGCCTCTACCTCCCAGTGCTGGCACAGGTGTGCACCATCACACCCGGCTCAAGTAGCTTTTACCTTCTGTTGATATTTACAATTGGGTAAATTCACTAAGAATTCACTGAGCTCACTAGTATGAGCTATGTGTTAGGCACTTGTCTTAGGGTTTCTATTGCTGTGAGAAAACACCATGACCAAAAAGCAAGTTGGGGAGAAAAGGGTTTATTAGGCTTAACACTTCCAGATCACAATCCATCATTGGAGGAAGTCAGGACAGGAACTCAAACAGGGAAGAAACCTGGAGGCAGGAGCTGATGCACAGGCCATGGAAGATACTACTTACTGGCTTGCTTCCCGTGGCTTGCTCAGCCTGGTTTCTTATAGAACCCAGGACCATCAGCCCAGGGGTGGCCCCACCCACCATGGGCTGGGCCCTCCCCCCACTGATCAGTAACTGAGAAAATGCCATACAGCTGGATCTCATGGAAGCAACTTCTCAACTGAGGCTCCTTCCTCTCTGATGACTCCAACTTGTGTTAACACACAAAACAAGCCAGTATAGTACTTAAAAGTGAATGAATTCAAGCACGAAATAAACAGGGTTCAACCATCAGCCAATCAGTCTACAAACCATTACCAAATGCTGGTAGACTATATGGCCTCTAAAGTACCTATCTCTCTCACACGTGCACACACAGAGACACATACAGCTAAAGATGACCTTGAACTTCTGATCTTCCTGCTTCCGCTTCCATAAATAGACTGCTTAGATTAAAAGCCTTTACCACCATGCCTGACTTATATGGCCCTACTGATTGAACCCTGGACCTCAAAAATGCTCGACAAGCATTCTACCAAGTAGACTCTTATATGTGCTTGTTTTGAGATAGAGGCTGATTCTTTATTCTGTAGCCCAGGCTGGCTTGGAACCCTCTATGTAGCTTCAAACTCATTAAAATCTTCCTGCCTCAGCACCCAAAATGCTAGGATTGCAGGCATAAGCCATCATATCTGGTTTGTTAAATTCATAAAAACTTATGTTGGTGCTGGGGACCAACCCTAGGTCTTATACATGAGAAGCAAGCCTTCTACCACTGCCACTGAGCTGCCCTCCAGCCCTAGGTATTTACTTTAAAGCTTCTTTAAAAAGTTTTAAAATGGAAGTGCTCAAAGTCTATCAAGAAACAAGATAAATAACAGAAACAAACAAACAAAAAACAACGGAAACACACAGTCAAACTAGGAAAACATCAGCTAAATGCAGTATGGACAGCATAATCTTGGGCTTAAGAGATACCTGCATTTCTTCTGCACATGTTCATATCTGCAACTTGTCTCCAGGCGTTTGTGGTGGGGTCATATACTTCAACACTTTTTCGTACTAAAGGACCATCATGCCCTCCTACAGCATATAATAAGTTGTTTAACACGCCAACACCTGGAAAACAAAACCAAGCAAATTATAGTAGAGCAAGATAGGCAAGAAACTTTTGGAGATGCCTTGGGAGGCAGACCCTAAGTTCTAACTCTCACTAAAAGGGTGCTGACAGGGAGGCTCAGCACTGCAGAAACGGAAGGGAGTGGACTGGCAAGACCTCAGTAAGAAGCCCTATCCTAACACGAGAAGAGTGTCAAGAGGAAGGGACTGATGCCAAGCCTTTTAAGAAACTCCTTTCACAAACAAAATTCTCCGAAGCATTCAGTCTGTAAAGGCGTCCGATTGGAAAGGAAGGACCATGAAAAATCTTCCTCACTGAGCAAATGATAAAACCACACTAGGTAAGGATAGCAGTGGAGCTTTTAGTCTGTGAACACGTACAAAAGTGCGGCTTCTCACTGCCGCTTAGCCTACTCAATAGAACCAGGAAGCAGTACACATTTTCAACCCCCACATGCACATGTCCATCAGTCAGTCCACCTCAGATGCTGGCCGGGGCTTCCAGTTACCTGCTCCGCTCCGTCTGGTGCTCATTTCTGCTATGTAAGTCCACTCGTTTGCGGTAGCATTATAGCATTCTACTGTGCTAAGACACTGGCGAGAAGCTCCATCGTAACCCCCCACAGCATAGAGCAAACCTGGATGTGGAACCACAGAAAAAGCCAAATGAACAACCTAGTCTCCTACTACATACTATTATGTACTGATTATTATAATTAATTATCTTCTATTATATACTATTATAACCTATTATATACTAATGTATTAGTATATGTTCCTCTGTGGTAGCGGTGCTTCCCCTTAAAGTATTTCTAATTTTCATGATATGTGTTAGTCTCGAGTGCTAGCAGGTGGAATGATCAGATCCTATCACAAAGGGAGCATGGAACAAAAGATGTGCTTTTTGCACATCTTCTGCTTCCATCAGTGACCTGACAGACAGTACAGGAGCAGTACACTGTGACTTTAGATAACACTAGCTGATTCATGAACAACATCTCAGGGAACAGAAATACCAGTTGGGGAAGGGAGTTAAACCAAGAGTCAGTAGCAGGGGGCTAGACAGATGGCCCAACAGTTAGAGCACTGTCTACTTGTCTAAAGGACCCATGTTCAATTCCTAGCACCCACAGGGCAGCTCACAACTGTGTCCAACTTTGGTTCTAGGGGATATGACACCCTCTTCTGGCATCCATGGACACATACATGCACACGGTACACAAAACATACATGAAGGCAAACCACTCATATATATATATATATATATACATATATATATATATATATATAGACAGTCAGTAGCAGAATGTAATACAGAACGCAATGACATATCTGACGAGAAAAAGCTATGATGTACTAACAGTACATCATGGATGAAGTAGTAATATACACCACGAATGACATTAAAAACAACATGCTAAATGAGACAAGCCATCATAAACATGCTATATGATTTAACTCACATAAAATGTCTAAGAATATTCATGGTGACGGGGAGTAGTGGTTACTGGGGACTGGGGAGGAGAGGGGACAGCTAGGGAACCAGGAATGGTTTTATTTGGTAACAAAAATGTTCTTCAATGACTTGTGGTGATAGAGACATATGGAATTGTCTGAGTCAAATGAAAAGCGTTTATGAGACTTCAATTATGTCTTATGGAAGTCACTTTAAGAAGGTTTCTGTTTATTAATATCTATCTGTGAATGTGAATGTCAACAGAAGGCAGAGGAGGCCCCTACGGCTGAAGCTATTGGCAGCCCACCACGGACACTGGGAATCTAACTCGGGTTCTCTGGAAGAACAGTGTATGGTCTTAACCACTAAGACATCTCTCTGGCCCCTCAAGAACTACTTGTCAAGGTATATAGGAAGCTGGATCTGATGGCACACACCTTTAAACCTGGCACTCTGGAGGTAGAAGGCAGGAGGATCTTTGAGTTTGAGTGCAGCCTTGTCTACATAGTGAGTTCCAGGGCAGCCAGAGCTACAACAGTAACACTCTGTCTTTAAAAAAGGAGTGGGGGGGGGCGGCTGTGTGTGAAAGGAGACGCATACAGAATTTTACTAACAGTGAGGAGGAAATGGAAAAAAACATAAAACTGAGGGGGAAAAATCACATTGAAGAAATAAGACAATGCTTTCCTTCAGCTGTGAGCAAAGGGATAGAAACTAACTAAGCCATTAACCGCCTCCTGGGTGTTAAGGGCCTCCTGTGTGTTAAGGGCTCTCCTCCAGAAACAAAAGTCTGGAAGTGTAATGACCTGAATTGTTTTCACAACAGCTGTCATAAGAACAGGTGAAAAGGCTGGGTGCGACTTAGGGAATAGAGCACTTGTCTAGTGTCTGAGTTCAATTCCCAGTTAACATTAAAGAAAAAAAAATAGTTGCCAGTCTTATAAAAGTCACACACAAAGAGGAAAGGAGGAAGAAAAAAGGGCGGGCGGGAGGAAGTAGGTAGAAAGGGCTGACTTATACAGTTTGTATATAAATGAACTCATTTAAAAAGACAATAATTCTGCCTTTCCTCTGTCCATTCATAAACCAGTTCTGGGATTACAGATGAAGCAGTCTCTGGAGCCCAGCAGCCCAGGGCACCTGTAAGTGTTCATCTGTTGGAACTGCCAGACCTACCTCCAACGACGCCAACACCCACACTGCTCCTCCTGGTGTTCATCGGAGCAACATGAAACCACTCATTAGATTTTATGTTGTATGCTTCCACAGACGATAAACCTGTGACAAAGGAGAATACCCTTCATTTCCTTTTCCAAGAAGTTACCATTGTTTATATATCTATATCTATATCTATCACTAGAGGAAATAACATCAGGCATTTTATACGGGGCTAAAATTAAAAAAAAAAAGAACATGAGAGAACTTGCTGATTACATGGTAGGAGTGGCTTCTCTACTAGAAGAACATGAGAGAACATGCTGATTACATCTACTAGGTTCTACTCAGCCTGTAGCCATTTATAAGCTTTTTAAACATGGAAGAGTGATGGATATTGATACATCAGAAACCATAAGTATATATATATATTTTATTTAGGCGTTTCTATGACCCTACATAAAAGTTATTTATGTGTGTGCGCATTGCTTTGTGCATGTAAGTGCAGTGCCTCTTCAGGCCAGAAGAGGGTGCTGGGTATCCCAGAGCTGGAGTTGGAGTGAGTTGTGATCTGTTCCGCCTAGAGGCTAGAAATCAAACTCTGGTGCTTTCAAAGAGCAGCAAACACTCTTAACCACATCTATCCAGTCTCCACTCATATCTCTTAGAGAAAATTTGAATTTAAGGTTTTGAGACAAGTTCTCAGTCTGGAGCCAATGCTATCCTCAAACTTACAATCTTTCTGCTTGGAAATTTCACCTCACTGGCCTTTAAAGAAATTCCTGGTACCATTTTAAAACTTCTCTAAAATAACTGCTAAAAACACTGAAGTATGTGCTAATGTTACTCTAATGTCTACCATGAATGTGGCTACCATGTCAATTACCCATTACAGCAGCTCAGGAGAGAGGAAGTTACCTGTGCTGCCATCAAAGCCCCCGACTGCATACAACAACCCATTGAGCACAGCTGCTCCCAGCGTGCTTCTTCGGTCTCGCATGTTCGCCACGCTGGTCCACTGGTCTTTCACAGGATCATAGGAATCTACAGTACGGACTCTCAGTGAGCCATTGAAGCCACCAACAGCAAAGACCAGCCCAGCCATATAGACCATCCCTGCAAAGGAAGAAATCAATTCAGGACGAATATGCCATCCAAGAGCTACCCTGATCTCAAAGCAGGCTGCAATCAAGAAAGCCTACAATGTCTGTTGGAACACAAAACTCGTCAGAGTTTTAAATACTGAATCAGTCTTGAGAATTCCTCTTCATTGGTAAGAAACATAAAATCAGAAGTGCATTATGGGGTGTGCACTAGGAATCCACTGTTGCACAGATTCCTGTATGATACGATTAATAAGTTTAATGTCCCTGAAAACAAGTGGGGTAGTTTTCGGTGGTAAGGCGCTCTCCTGGCCTTGCACCTCAAAAACAAAACAAGTATGACAAAAGAGTAGCACTGCTGAGGGAAGGGGAGAGAGAGAGAAAGGGGGGGGGG